ATATATATACTCCCTCTGTTTCAATATAAGTGTCACTCTACAGCTATGCACACGGATTAAGGAAACAATTAATTTTACATATTTCCTATATAAAAACACAATTACCCATGCACCTAACCATATTTTAACCAATATAAAAACAAATTTCATAATAAAATTAATAAATTTTACATTGAAAACCGAAAACGACACTTATTTTGTAACACAAAAAATTCTCTACAATGACACTTAATATAAAACGGAGGGAGTATAATTTTACTAGAGTTTCTATTTAAATATGGGAAATAAAACAATGCCAAAATATGGTAAAGCCCATTCGCCGAGAAAATAACAAAATATGGTAAAGCCCGTTATTTTCTTTTACAGCCTCACTAATATTGAATTTTTTGGCAACACTGAAATTGGAACCTTTTTCAAAAAAAAAAATAAAAGAAAAATACTGAAATTGGGAATTAAGTAACCAAAAACATCCAACCTAAGATTTGACATTAAAATAACAATTCAAATAATTACTTGCTTATTGTATTACTAATAATTTTACATGCGCTAAAAGTCTTTTGATACAAAACAACATTCAATATTGTATCTATCTTATTAAAACTGAAATACCAATATTAATAATTAACTTACCATTAAATAACCTTATAATTATAACTAATGTCACTAGAAACTAACTAATCCTAATTTTTAACATTAATTAGTGTTAATAAAATCTTCCTTAAAATACAATTTATTTATAGCAACATTAATAACTGTTTCTAATGACAATATATCTTAACAAAATCTTCATTAAAGTAAACAATTAATTAATTTTATCCTTATTTGATTATATATATATATATATATATATCTAAATTAATAAAAAATATGATATAAAATTACTATAAATTTATTTTTATCATTTCGTAAACATTAAAATATATTAATTTCAAGTATCCAAAAAAATTATTCTGTTTATATTCTATGTATTAAAAAATTTCAAAGATTTAAATATTAATGTACATGAATAATAAAAATTGACATCAAAATAAATAAAAATATTTTTAATAATTACTTACTTATTGTATTACTAATAATTTTATATACGTTAAAATTCTAAAGATACAAATAATATTTAATATTGTCTATAATTTGTATATAATAAAAAGTAAAATAATATTCGATACAAATCATAAATCAATGTTAATATCATAATATTCGTATATAATAATATGTTTTAAAAAGTTAAAATAAATATTTACATGTGTGTACGGATAAAAATCAGAAGCAGTATTTGTTGGTGACTTTATCAAATTGTCCACACGTTGCCAGGTAGACACTATTTTATATTATACCAAAAATATATACTTTATAATTTACAATACTGACGATTGATGTGTTTATTTGATCAAAAGTCAAATTTGTGAGCTATTGGTTATGAACAAACACATTAAAATAAAATTTGGACCTTACTATATACAGAATTGGAAATATTTTAAATTGATAATTTTGGTTCATGTTCCACTTCAAGAGATACAGCTGCCGGATAAACAATCTTGCGCAATTTATAAGAATGCTTATTGATCTTTTAAAATTATGAAATAACGTGTAATCAATTTACAAAAGATATGATCTTGCAGGATTGACAGAAGGATGGTCATTTATGGATTATTTAGAAATATAGTTTATTTGATAAAACAATTCTTTCATTTTCGGAGTAAGAACTTTTCAAGAATTTATCAATTTCAAAATGAAATGAAATGTGTCATCGAATAATTAGAATGATTCCATGTTTTAAATATAGTTTCAGTCACAGCCACGCTATACCAACTTAGGTCTATATATCTTCATAGTACTCTGTCCAAATTATATGATTTCTGTTTAGATTGAGTGATTGACACGTACAATGTATATCGTAGAGAGGAACCGATGGATACGCACTCTCTTAGTTAACCAGTATGGTTCATGATTTAAACGTCCCTAAACCTACATCATTTCATTTGATTTGTTAAGGCTCACTAACTGACTGCTTTCCCACTAATACTACTCATTCAAAATAATATATATGTCACGAGCTACGAATATAATTTATATAGCTTTACCGTTCACAACTTTTTTTTAATATTATCCTATAATTCAGTCTTATCAATTAGCGCCAGATGGGTTAGCGTGATCAAAGAGAAGAAAGAACTAATCAAAATTATAAGGAATAAAATAAATTCCAGTGTACTTCTAGCTTCATTAATTCTTCTATTTAAAGGGGGGTAAAGAACTTAGAAGGGAACACACTCATTCTCAAAACATAAAGCCCTAAAGACACATTTGCAAATTATCGAGAGATCAAGAATGGCCGAAGAAGCATCAAGTTTGGTCGGGATCATTGAGACAACCGTGGAGGTAAAATCTTCCCCGGAGAAGTTGCATGGCATGCTTGTCGGGAAAAAACACCATATGCCCAATGCAGCTCCATCCTTGATTCAGGGCTGTGAGCTGCATGAAGGCGAAATTGGCCAAGTTGGTTCTATCGTAACATGGAATTACTTTCATGGCAAGTCAACGCTTTAATTCTCTATTTATGTGAATACATTCATAGCGAATCTATATTAAGATATATCAACTTTGAGTAAATGCAAGTTTTCTAAAAATCTCAATCCTATAGTTATGTGTCAAATGTTATATATGGTCAGATGGGGAGGCAAGAGTATTGAAAGAGAGGATCGAATCAATAGACGCGGAAAACAATCGGGCCACGTACAGGGTGTTAGAGGGTGATTTAATGAACGAGTACAAGAGTTTCTTGGTCACCTTTCAAGTGACCCCTAAGGAGGGAGAACCTGGAAGTGTTTTACATTGGCACTTTGAGTACGAGAAAATTAATGAGGAGGTGGCTCACCCTGAGACTCTCCTCCAGTTTGCTGTCGAGGTCTCCAAAGAGATCGATGGACATCTCTTGTCCGAAGAATAGAGGAAGAGTTATCTTGTCTCAATCCTTTATATCCATGCTTATATTTGTGTGTTTGCCTTAAAAGTTCAATCTTTGAAATTGCTATAAATAAGGACTAAGGAGCCGTCTTGTCCGAGTATGTAAAGAGATATGTGTGTTAATGAGTGTTTGGAATTTGTTACTTTTGAGAAGCTAAGTGTAGCAGCGTCAGCTGTGAAGCTACTCGAAATTTATGTATGAAATGTTTGTTAATAATAAAAGAATATATGTTTAATAAATAAATTAAGCATTCTTCGTCTTTGTGACTTAGGTACTGCGACAGAGGAATAACAAATGAAGGTTGATTAGCCGTTATAAAACTATCCCTTCAAGTTCCTGAGTTGATGAGACATGATACATGTATTATTCTTTCATAATCAAATTCAGATATCGCGTCATATATTGGAAAAACCACCTACAGAACACATACGATCAGTAGTATATTAGTGAGACAGGCTTGAAGCAAATATTGACTACATATCTTCAATATTATTATTATTATTATTTTGATCAAACATATATTCAATATTTCTTCTGAAACTTATGGGGATGAGAAGAAAAGTGTACCTGATACACGTGTGAACATAAGAAATGTGGGCATGGAGTCATAAGGTTATATAGTCTGTTAATGGCCGAAGTTAGTGTTAGATGGTGTAGGAGCGAATAGTTACCATTGATGCCTCATTATAGAAACCGGTGTAGGAGATGGAGGAGGAAGTGAGAAACGGCGAGAGAAGTTGGTAGGACAACGCAGATGAGAGGATGGATATTGGTAGTAAAATCATTATTTGGGTTTGGTACATTTTAGTTGCGCTTTAATTTAAAAGGAAAGAATACAAAGAAACTATTGGGCTTTTTGAGGAATCACAGATACAATTGACTGTTTATAGCTTTAACAACATAGCATTCACTTATTGGTTGATTAAATTAAATGAGGTGGTATAGCTGAGATTTCTAAAATAGACCCTTTTATATATTTGGAGTTTTGAAGTTATATAATATAAGATTGTAGTTTTGCCTAGTTCAATTTCTTTTAAACTTAGATTACTAAAGGATGTACGTATCATGGAGTTTTTTCATGGATTTGTAGCATATAATCAGTCAGGCTTATAAGTGAGAGCAATGTTTAGATGAAATATGAATGCAAACTGTTACCGTTCAACCCATTTGAGGAATCCGTACCGGGTCAGTCATTATCGAGAGGCAAAAAAAAGAGTACTTATGACAAATTAATATAATATTTGGTGGACTTCATAATATTTTGAGCATCCGACGCTTTCAGCTGTTAAATAAACACTATGTTTTGGTTGGTGCTTATACTGTTCACGGATCACCCTGATACATAGCAACCATGGATTGGTTCTTTTATTTTTATTTTTTAATCAGATAAAAAATATTTTAATAGGGTGTTACGATAAAGATGCTTTTAACAACATCAAATATTATAAATATGGCATTTTCAGTGTTTAAAATTAAACTAACTTTTCTTTTTTTATTTATTTAAAATTAGACTAACGTGTCTAATCTTAAGGATCCTTTCTAAAATAAATTTAAAAAGGTACCCGCTGCCACGTAATTAACAACGTACTGCGAAAATGAAAGTACCGATGTGTATCGTGTGATTGATGAATAGTTGACTGTTTAAATAATTCGGCAAGTACTAATCATAATGATGGAGATAATATTCACATGGAATACAGCAATCATGATTTCTTTTTGTCGATATGAGACTTTTTTAATGTAAAAATATTGTCTTCATAATCAGTCGCTCAATCGTCCCTCTACAAATAGAGGCTAAAGAGATCATAAGGGAATCACTCCTCATTCAAACCCCTATTTTTCTCTCAATATTATCAGATAGCTAGAAAGAATGGCTGAGGCTGCGAAACCCGAGGCATCTAGTTTGGTCGGGAAGCTTGAGACAGACGTGGAGATCAAGGCTTCGGCTGGAAAGTTCCATCACATGTTTGCCGGGAGACCACACCATGTCTCCAAAGCATCTCCAGGCAACATTCAAGGTTGTGATCTGCATGAAGGTGACTGGGGAAAAGTCGGCTCTATCGTCTACTGGAATTACGTTCATGGCAAGTCAACTTTATACACTTTTCCCCTCTTCTAATCATTGGATTCTAATTAAACCCCCAAACAATTAAAGTCTATTCAATTAGGTATGCCACCGTCAAAATTCTGTAGTTGCAATACAAAGCGTTGTGTAGCATAAATTAATTTTAGACACTATGTGAATTCTGTAGATCATATTACACAAGAACGGTAATGTTAGAAAGGGCAAATCCTTGACATGTACCCACAAGGCGACAACAATATAATACTATCCCTTCACTTGAGTATATGTACTTGCTACTTATAATAAGCTTTTGAATTAACATTCAAGTTCGTCTCAAAGTCAAAAACATATAAATGAAACGTAAATAATTGGTGCAGATGGGGAGGCAAAGGTGGCAAAGGAGAGGATCGAGGCAGTGGAGCCGGAAAAGAACTTGATCACGTTCAGGGTTATAGAAGGTGACCTGATGAAAGAGTACAAAAGCTTCTTGCTCACGATCCAGGTGACCCCTAAGCATGGAGGGCCAGGGAGTATTGTGCACTGGCATCTTGAGTACGAGAAGATTAGCGAGGAGGTTGCTCATCCCGAGACTCTCCTCCAGTTCTGTGTTGAAGTCTCCAAAGAGATAGACGAACTTCTCTTGTCTGAGGAATAGAGGAGATTACTCCTCGTGTGGCTATCGTATCAGCATTTGTATGTGTGGTTGAAGCATGTCGATTTCAGTCTTTGAAAGTTCAATAAATAATGAGTGAATAATATATGAGTGTGCCATATTATACATCTATGTGTTCTATTTTATGTGTATTATTTTTGTCTTTGATAATTATAAGAAGCATGTGATATATGTTTGGATCCACAAGCTTCGTTTTCTGCTCTCATCTAATTCTTTTATCAATAACATGTAAATATATGTTACAAAAAAATAATTACATGTATAAATGCAGATTTATATTTACGTAATAATGAATTTTATGAAGACATTTGATACTAACACAACCCTCTAAGCGAACCAGTAACAGTGGTGCTCTTAGTGAAAAGTAAAATCACTCAAAATAATAGTAAAAAGTAAAAACAAAAGTGTAGAAAAAGGGAGAAAATACTCTAATATGAAAAAGTCTTTTAACTTATTTTGAGAATTTCTTTTGCTGTGTGTCCTTTCATTGGTATAATTATTTTTAAAATTAAAATTTAGTTATGTAGATTAAAAGAATAGTTCATATATTTGATAGACTCAATTTGAGAAACCTTTTAATAATGATGCTGTAAGCTATAATACCATGGTTTCAGTTTATATATCAAAGAATTAAAATTATATTGTATAGTATGGAGATGTATACAAGTATTCCACCCAAAACAATGTGTAATGAAGCAAAGTCATCACAGACCATATATCAGATAAAGATTGTGACAACATGATCTTCTACTCCTATGTCTTCAAGTTCCGTCATATGGCTTATGTTCTTAGTATAGCATTCAGACCAAAATGGTGTACATATATAATATGATAGGTAAACTTTTGATGATTGATAGTATTATCAATACAAATAAGAAGATTATCTCAAAGGTAAGACAAAGATTATTGGCAAAAAAAATGTTAAAATAAGGTATTGTTAGTTCAACGTGAAAATGAAAACTAAAACTGAAAATCACATCACCGAGTGGCATTTGAGATAGACCATATTAGAGCTTTTTTTTTTTTTTACAAATTTCTTAGTTAAGTTTTCAAAATAGGAAAACAAAAATGATATATGGATCTCTCGAGTATTTGATTGAACACCACACAAAAGTTCCTTTCTACTACTTTGAGTGATCCACAATAAATTTTATTTTTTCAACTTCACGAAATTAAAATGAAATACTTGAAATAAAGATATTCTTGCAAACGTCTAATCATAAAAACTACGAAAATAGTAAATTGCTAGTGATAAATGAGATTTTTACTATTTTACCTTTACATCATTTATATCACATTTTTCGACACAATTACACCTGGCCACGATATGTCTGATATCGTCAGTGAATCCCTCTTTTGTTACATGTGTGTGTATGTGTTGGGGATATTTCCACATTTTACGGTCTTGATGCCAATAACTCGAACTTAAAAATTGATATTTAATTATATCTTTATCTAACAATTATAGTTAATACTATTTATTCATTTGCATATGAACTAACGTGTCTTCATTAACAAACGACATGTTCTCTTTAGGATCACTTCAAAGTTTTATAAGAAAATCTGAATATTTCAGCGGAAAAGATTTATTTTGAGAATATAAACTGTATATTGTCAACACTACCTGCCAATAACAAATGCTTCAAAAAGAAAATTTTAAAACGGAAGACGTGATCAACAGTGTAATATTACGCGATCACTCTTATGTACAACGTTAAATGATCGTGATCCATTTACAGAAATTCAGTAGGTGAGACAAAATGATGGGGTCATGATCACAAAGTGATACAAAATAGCGATTAATAAATATTTGGTTCTTTCTGCAACCGTTACTTCACTCAATCCCCTACAAAAAGAGGCTAAATAACTCAAAAGGAACTCATCCTCTCTCTCAAGACAAATCAACGGGAGAAAATATGGCGACTAAAATGGCCGGGCCTGCAAATAATATGAGGAAGACAGAAGTGTCAAGTTTGGTTGGGAAGCTTGAGGTAGATGTTGACATCAGAGCTTCTGCTGGGAAGTTCCATCACATGTTTGCTGGGAGACCACACCATGTCTCCAAAGCATCTCCAGGCAACATTCGGAGTTGTGATCTGCATGAAGGAGAATGGGGAAAAGTTGGTTCTATCGTCTTCTGGAACTATGTTCATGGCAAGTCGACGTTATATATTATAACGTTATTTTGTTTATATCATATATAATATTAACTCTTGTTAGGAAATAAGAGATCAATTCAGTTATTGTCAATTGGTTAGTTGAAACATAATTTAACACAACTCATATATTATATGGTATGACGAAATGCTGTTGTGAAATTCGCATCATTTGTCTACCATCGTTCGATTAAATTACATGCACCTGCTTATACTATGTTCAGGAACATATATTAATAGTATATTTTTTGGTTTCTTTTTTTTTTAACTTAGATAATACATATTAATTAATATTAATATATTTTTTGGTGCAGATGGGGAGGCAAAGGTAGCGAAAGAAAGGATTGAGGCAGTGGAGCCGGAGAAAAATCTGATCACTTTTAGGGTGATAGAGGGAGACTTATTAAAAGAGTATAAGAGTTTTGTGATCACGATCCATGTGACTCCTAAACAGGGAGGACGTGGGAGTACAGTTCACTGGCACGTTGAGTATGAGAAAATTGACGAAAAAATTGCTCACCCTGAGACCTTCATTGACTTCTGTGTTCAAGTTTCCAAAGAGATCGACGAACATCTCCTGAACGAGGACTAGAGAAGGGTGATCTTTACTTGTGGTATCTACCCTATCCATAATGAAGCATGTCTATAAAAATACAATAAATAAGGAGCAGTGTCCTAATTAAATAGATCGGTGATATACTGATATATAAAAAGTGTTCTACTCTAAATGTTTGTATATGTTATGTTTCGTTGTAATAAAATAAGAGCTTGTGATATATGTATGCAATAAATAAATAAGGCTCTTCTGTCTGCTATCATGACTCGATCAACCCTAAATTATTCTCGTGTTTTCATATTTTAAAATTTTAGTTTTACAAACTATAGACTATTCCTAATGTTTCCACCAAATGGCAAAACTTGATAATTAACAAAATATTTTCCTATTTATTTCGCACCTTTTAAACCTATAATAGAGAAAACTTCAACTTGATAATTAACAAAATAATTTTCCTACATAAATTTCATACTCTTTTACAAATGTATCCCTAATTGATATATACATAAGAAGCGTTAAGAGAACGTAGGAAGACATGAAGCTAACGTATAAGGTTTTAAAGTAGAAGATTCACTTACTTAATAATTATATTTTCTTATTAACTAAATTCTAAAATTATGGTCTCAAGAATCATCTAACTTGAAAACCTGAATGTTTATATTAGAAAGTGACTTGGAATATATATAACATTTCTATGATGCAGATCTCCAAAATGCTTTTTTGTTCAATGTTTCATATGAAATTTCTAGTAGAGCATTCGCGTTTATAATATTTTAATTTTTAATATAATTAATTTGATTTATTTAATAATATCACAAAAATATATTTCTATTCACAAATAAATTGAAATTTTAAAAACTAAAGTTTAAAATTAAAGTTTCTGTAATTTTTTAAATAGTATTTCAAAATTTTAAAATAATACTTCACAATTAAATGAAATTAAATATATATAATTGATATAATTCGTTATTGTCAATACAAATAAAATTAATATATATAATATCTATATTATTTAGAAATAAACAAATTATATATAAATTTTATGTGATAATTTAATATATAAATCATTACTACTTTTTTGTCATCATAAATCATTACTGCTTTAGCAATCATTTTAGTAAATACATTTATGAAATCATATTGCTTCTATCACATATTGTTTCTATAACATATTATTATTGATTTGTCATTAGCTATACCACTCAAAACCTTAATTACTTCTTAAAAATGCATATTCTAATTAAATAAAAATTATTTGACAGTGAAAATAAATTACTAAAACATTAGGATAGTTTTCTGGACTATTTCATCAAAATCAAAATAATTTTTATTTAATTAAAACAAATTATATCAACGGGTTAATTATTTCATAAATGTGAAATTTTAATTTGTATAAAATAAATATTTATATAAAATCGAATGGTTTAATACAGAAAACTTTGCTTGATATTTTACGACTAGACAATCAAATTTACAAATATATAGTTTAATATAAATCGGATTAAATGGACTGGTTAGCATACTAATGGAGTAATTAGCATACTAATAATTTACTAAAGGTAATAATAATTAATTATGTTAATATTATCATATATTTTGAGAGATTTCCACTGATAATGATGTTATTGTTATCAACAGGTTAATTATCTTTTTGTTGACTACGTTTTGGGATGCCTTGCCAAGTCTAAACACTTATGTTTACACAAATACACACACGTGTAAGAACTAAGAACCACACACACGTTTTCTAAAAGCTAGAAGACATAAAATGTCACTTGTCGTCAGGTAATAATGCAACCACTTATTCTTGTCTTCCAATCCCTTCCATAGCTTTTGGTCAGTGGAGAGCTCCGACTAATTCGAGTAATGAGCCAGCCCTACAGAGAAATCACAGCCCACCGATTTTTTAAACTGGGCCCTAACCTGGTTCAACCTGCTTTAGGCAGGCACGGCAGCCGACATTGTACACAAACCCACTCCCTGCTTTCTAACGTGCAAGTGACCTTGTTGCTAGTAGTAGTAGCATTCGAACTGGGGGAAGCGTTTGTAAACGCATTCCCAAATCAAATACACTTGCACACGGGCAATCATTTTGTAATATATTATACTTCATCAGAAATTTCACATATAAACAACGCATATATTATATATTTTGAGAAATTTCACATATATTGTCAACAGGATACCGAAACTCATGAGCACATCTTTTTTGATTGTGCTTTCCCTGCGTCAGTGTGGTCGCTATTGACAAGAAGGTTCTTGGTCCTCGGTTAACTACAGCTTGGGGTGACCTTACTCAGCTTATAGTTGACACAACAATGGATAAAAAAATCCAGGGTTCTGTTGTGCTATACTTTCAGATCACTCTTCACTTTCACTCCATTTGGAGAGAACGAAATCATAGACGTCATGGAGCAACACACCAATGGTCGCAGGTTCCTTGGCCAAGATGGGTTCGGAACTGGTGCTTAATGGTCTCTGCTACGCTTCATCAGCACTATGAAGCGCTGCTGCAACACTGATTCGCCTCAAGGGTGTAGGCTTTGTTTGATAAATTTTTGATCTTTTGATTTCTAAAAAATTAGCAAGATCAAACTGGATACACTTGATGTACAGAAGCTAGTTTTCTTTTGAATGAATTTTACATATATCCAAACGCATCACTGTTTGTTTTTGCATAAAGTTTAGTTAAAGGCAATTCTCTCAAATAGATTTTTTAAGTTTTTATCATAAAAATAGATCTCAAAAACTAAAATGACCAAAATAGCATTTTTTATTTTGAAAATTTTATGTTTTAAAAAAAAAATTTTAAACTGCGATCGTCAAAACCCCTCCTCATTTTTAAACTGAAAGACTAAGATTTAACCCAAAAGATATAAGTGTATATTTATTTATTTTTGATAAAATATTTAAGTCAATTTTATCATTTTTATTTTTAAGATCTATATTTGTGACAAAAAAATATATTTTTATCTAGAATTTAATATATGTGAATTTTTACAAAAGAAATCTAGACACGCATAACACATTGAAAGAAGTAGGTGAGAATATAAATGAAAATAAATCATCATGAATGATGGGGGTTGATTACACACCAAAAAAAGTGTATTTTTGCTTCAACAGTTTCTCACTCGTTCTTCTATATATAAAGGGCTATAGAGTTCCAAAGGGAACTCACTCATAAAAAAGAATAGCACACTCATAAAACCCCTAATTTAACCAAATTAGTAGGAGACAGAATGGCAGAGGCTGCTACTGAAATTGCCAAGAAAATGGAGGAAAAGGTGGAGAGGCCAGTGACCGTGGCACCAACTAAAACCGTGGAGGCTGGAAGGGCTGCAGAAGCAGACACCGCAGTAACAGTGGCACCTCCTGAAAAGGTTGAGACTACAAACAAACCGAAGGAAGAGGAGGTGAAGACGACAGAGACATCTAGCTTGTTGGGGAAGCTTGAGGCACACGTGGAGATTAAATCTTCCGCGGAGCAGTTCCATCACATGTTCGCCGGGAGACCACACCATGTGTCCAAAGCATCTCCGGGCAACGTTCAGGGCTGTGAACTGCACGAAGGAGAATGGGGCAAACCCGGCTCTATCATCTTCTGGAACTATTTTCATGGCAAGTTAACGTTAATATATACTCCATGCGTTTCATTTTAGTTGTCGTTTTAGATTTTTACACACATATTAAAAAAACATTTAATTTTACATATTTCGAAAATAAAACTACAATTACATATAAACCTAATCACATTTCAAGCAAGAAAAAAAGAAAAATATGTAAAGTTAATAAATTCTGCATCGAAGCTATAAAACACATTTATTTTGAAACGAAATTTTTTTTCTACAACCACATGTAAAATGAAACGGAGTGAGTACTTTTTTATTTTTGTAGCTTATTTATATTATATAAAATCTGAGGTGACTAAGAAAAGACGAGTCTAGTGTATATCGATCTAAGGTTTCACTTACTATATATGTGGATTCTCAGACTTAAGCATTAACTATATATTACTAATGACTGTTGCAGATGGAGAAGCAAAGGTGGCAAAGGAGAGGATCGAAGCGGTTGAGCCGGAGAAGAACCTGATCACGTTTAGGATTATAGAAGGTGATCTGATGAAAGAGTACAAAAGCTTCTTAGCCACGATCCAGGTGACCCCTAAGCATGGCGTGACAGGGAGTATTGTGCACTGGCACCTTGAGTACGAGAAAATTAGCGAGGAGGTTGCTCATCCCGAGACTCTCCTCCAGTTCTGTATCGAAATGTCAAAAGAGATCGATGAACATCTCTTGTCCGAGGAATAAAATGTGTGTGTGCCTTAAGTATCGTATTTTATTAAAACAAAATAAAGGGGTAAGAAGAGCTTTGTGAGAGATTAAAAATGATGAGTGAAAGTTGAAAGTTGTAAGTTGTAATGCTTCATGAATCATGTTTATGTGTGTGTCTACTAAAATCTTTTTACGTTGGAAGTTGTAAGTTTGAGAAGCGACGTGTACTAGCTATGATGAGGCTGCTATAAACTATATAAATAAGACCATAAGTGTGTTATGTTTGCTAATAATAGTATAAGTTTGGGTTACCGAATTAATTACTACCTGTATGCTTTCATGAAGAATAGAAGCAGGCCAGTAGATTAAAAGAACTATTGACACCACCACTCAAAGGTTTTCATCTAAATATATCACAGAAGAAAAAAAAAGTTGAAAAAGAAAGAATGAAATAGGATTTCAAACTAGTTATTTTTTTTCGTAGTTGTTCAGACTCGAATCAGATATATCTACGCTTAGAGCAGAAAAAAGGTTTACTAGTAATGGTAACAACTCAAAAAAAAAAAATCTGGTTAACTAACTGCTTTTATAGCCGTTTTATAGTTGCAGTTTTCTTTTATTGCAGTTGTACGATGTCTGGTGTGAATGTGGTTAATCAAAAATACGATTGATAAATATTTGGTTATTTGGTTAATACCATGCAATATGCATGTCTTGAATTTGGGTGATAACACAGTTAACACAAACCAACTAACATATATGTCATGGACAATAATAATATAATTTGAGCGGTAGATTATTAAATACTGCTTACACGCACAGCTTATCAATCAGCCATCAAATTAACCTATATTTTGTACTATTGGAACATTCAATACATCAACTTGGTGATGCCGCAACTGTTTTCTTGCATAATGGGTTTTTAACTGAAAGCATGGGCAGATAAATATTACAGAATCCAAGATCAGTTTTTTTTTTTTTAACGTTGGGTTTGATTCAATCAAAATACAGAAAATACCTTGTTTCAATGATCCAAACTCCAACAGCTGGACCTGATCTATAAAAAAAGGAATGCAAACGAAACTGGAGGTAAAGAAACAAGACAAATACATATGGCCACAGAGGAGGGGAAATATGACACTATTGGTAGATAGCATATAATAATAGAAAGAGCATACTATTATATTTTATTTAGTGGAACCATAAATTGAAACCAAGTACAGTAGTTGAATCTTACCTCAAATAAAAGGGACCAGAACTTTCATCCAAAATATTTTCCATTGGCATTATTATCGTCCATCAATTATATCCACGTATATTACACATTCATTTTATAATCATATCTACCGATTACTATTACGTTACTGGTGATCATATAATGAAATGGCGGATGTTTTGGGTTAATGGCTAGCTAAGTGTATTCTCAAGAAGAATACAAATACAATTACACATGATTTTTTTCTTTTTGTTTAAAAGAAAGCCTTCAAACTGTGGTTTTAAAGACATCATTCGCAATTTGATTGACGAGCCATCAAGATTGACTACCGATATAATTGTCGATATCACTTATGTCGAGGAATCTAGCTACCCCACTAGCTTCCAGAAACCTAAATCAACACATGGAAATCGTTGCCACAAAAAAACATTTTAGCATTCAAATTCGGTGAGACCAAATTATTAGAATTAAAGATGAACAAAAGTTACCGATCTCTGAAAATACTTGTCATGGAGAGGCATCCCCCAGGAAGCACTGATTGCATATTAAGAGCAATGTTAGGGTTGTGAATGCTCTGCCTCATGTGCACCCATCCATACTCTTCCCCACTCTTTTCATCCATTACTTTGGCCCTGCATTTTTTATTTAATAATTAAATAAACTTCGGATTTTTTTCATTACATAAAATCTGTGAAAACAGTAAATTACCTGTACATGTGAGCATCAATGGCAGATGGATGATCATTTGAGTCTACCAAACAACCTTCACTCACCCAACATTCTCCACAAGAATCCAATTCCCATCCTTCTAATTTTCCTTCCTAGTTAACCGTTTTTATTTGTTCCACATTTATAATACCAAAGTCTAAAGCTACACCCATAACCAATCTTATATCAAATAGCTTTATCATACCTCAATATATTGCCTGAATGTCTCAATAGCTTCAATGCCTTTTGCTTTGGCATCTCTTGGCTCCGACAAAATATTCATCCGCAGCTCAGCCGATTCTAATGGCTCCTCAAGATTTTCAATTAGACTACCGATACCTTCCTTTGATCCCGCTAGTCTCATCCTCACCATTTCAATTATAATTTTCACCACCATGTATGCACCTAAAATGTGTCACAGTGTATAGAAAATAAAAACATAAGAATAACTAATAAACCAATAGGAAAACTGACCAATTATGACCTAAATAAATTAAAGAGTAGTAGTTAACTAACTAACCATCATCCAAGAAGTAATTCTCTTTAACAGCACCATGTCCTGAAGTTTCCATCATGAGATGAGTCTCGATGCCATCTTTGTTCAGCTCAACTCCCTTGTCAATCACGTTTCTATACCCTACTCTGTACAAACAATGTCTCCCTCCTCTCTCCGTTATAAACCTAGTTAGTCCCATACTGGTTCTTGCGTCCGTCACTATTGTACTTCCTATATATATCCATACATAAAAACAGTATTATAAGTCACATTAACGAATTAAATATAATAAATAACATTAGTAGTGTAAACCCACCTGGATGTTCTTTAAGCACAATAGCTGACATAAGGGCAATGAGCTTATCTCCGTTTATAGGATTCCCTCTGTTATCCACCACTCCACTCCTGTCAACATCCGTGTCAAACACAACCCCAAGATCCGCTGAGTTCTCTAGAACCGCTGCTCTGGTGCGTGACATTGCGGTTTTGTCTTCAGGATTAGGAATGTGATTAGGGAACATCCCGTCCGGGTTAAGATAGAGTGAACCGAATGTATCAGCTCCTAACTTGTCTAGAACATCCCACGTAAAGAACCCTCCTGACCCATTACCAGCATTCACTACTATCTAACATACACCAACCAAAAAGCATTAGAAAACAACAAAGACATAGATTATGTAACTAGACTCTTGCCTGAAATCCTTTGAGAGGTGTGTTGTAGTGTTCAGGGTGATTGATTCTCTCTTTAATGATTTCTCTAAGGTGCTTAGAGTAAGCGCTCATGAAATCGACTTGTTCTGGTCTTGTTCTGATCAGTGTTGAGACTTTAGTCTGTCTATTTGCGTACTTTCTCGCAGCTAAATCACATATCTTCTCCACTTCAGGAGATGTTAATCCTCCTCTCTTGGTAAAGAACTTGAGACCGTTTCTTGTATACGGTAAATGGGACGCCGTCATCTTCAAAACCACAACAACTAAACATATAAGAACCACACATCTCAAACAATACTGCTACTGCTGCTGTTATGTATACATGCTTTTTTTGATGAATAAAATTTTAACATTTCATTCAAAAAAAAAAACAAACAAACAATACTGCTGCTTTTAAAAGTAACTACCTCAATGCACCACTTAAAAAAAAACAAATAATTCCACATTTTTGACTATCGGATTTATTAGATAAAAAAAGTCTCATAGAAAAAAATAGAGGTTTGTTTATAGATTTGTGTTTAAGAGGTTATTAGTTATTCATTTACACAATCAAGTTTTTCTTTAAATTTATTATTTTTTTCGAGTTTGATTCGCGTTTATTCACAACAATATTCAATCATAAGTAGGTTCTGAGTTGGAAATTGACAATGCAAAGAGCATTTGAAAGCAGTTACCATAATTGAAGCGTCATATTCAAAAGGAGGTAGTAACGTGCTCATGAAGCAAGCAGGAGTAGTAGCTAAACCCATATCAAAAGCTAAACATCCTGCACGAGCAAGACCAGCGAACACAGCCGTGCTTAGCTTCCCACCGGAAACACGTGGATCCCGTCCAAGAGAAACCCTAATAACACCGTTTACGTTACTCTCCGTTGCCGCAACCCATTCTCCAAAACTCTCTGCGATTGCTTCAACCGCTGCAGGGGTTAATGTAACCGTCCGGCCTTTCTCTCCTTCCAATGCGACTCCTCTCACGTCGGAACCGTTCTGTAACCTTCGTATCTGGTCCATGTCCTCGTCGAGGATGTTATTGGTTACTTCATCAGTCTTGGTTGCATTTGAAGATCTTGTCCTGATGGGTTTACAGGAAGGAGAAGCTGGTGTGAAGGATAAGAAACTGCTTTTGACTGTTCTTGGTGAGGATAGAAACAGAGAGACTAAAGTTTTTGATGACACTAAAGATGAAGTTGAAGTCGATGCCATAGCTAATTAGAAACAGAGTTTTTCTTCAAGTTCCAGACTTGAATGTAGAGACCCAAACAAGTATCTGCAAATATAATTAACAGCTTAGATTTTTTATTAGCAATTTTTTTTTTTTGTATCTATCTGTGATTTTTTTTTCCCTTTAGAAGTGATGTTCAAATATGAGATTTGGAGATGGATAAGATTTGTAACTAGATGAAACTATAACCTTACGTTTTGAATATCTCTCCAGTTTCACATGTTTACCAAAAATATCTGCAAGCAAACTTCCAAGCTTATTAGATTTTTCTTTGTTTTTTCTTCATCTGCATAAGCATATTACAACAACAGCATATTCTCTTTTATAAAACTCGCGGGAAACCAAAAACGGTTTCGGTTATAAATATAAAACAAATATTTTCATTACAAAACAGAGCAAGTACTCTGTTTTGCTTATATTGTAACTTTTAACTTCCATTAAAAAAAAAAAAGATTTTACTAACAATCTTGCCATTATTCAAATCGAAATTCCTTAATTCAAGATTATCATATCCTGAAGAAACTTGCCATTATTGGAAATGATTCTGCTGTCTTCAGACAAGCAGTTGACTCCAGTGAGTAAAACTCTCTTGATCCTTCTTCCATAATCCAATCTTGAACCTCCAAGAGGTGCGAATCTCCCACCTCTCTTGAGATGTGAATGTATCTTTAGCATTCACTATCTGCACTCACAAGAAAGACATACAACACAATCTCAACATAAAAAAAAAAAAAAAAGAGTAATTACTTCGAAAAGATTGAAATACAATTCAGCGATGTTTCACATCTTTGATTTAGAATGCATGCAAGATAACAACACCCTAACGAACAAAGTTCATTTATAAATTGAACTCTATTTCATGTTTCTTGATTTTTAGATCTCTCCATCTACCAAGAGAGTAAACTGATAAATATATCTCAAGAAGACCAAATTAGATGATACTAGAAATATATATATATATATATATATATATATATATATATATATATATTCTTGTGCATGAGCTAATATTCATATGCTACAAACAAAACAAAGTGTGGTTTTATTCCAGAACACGTGGCTTTTATTACAAACACACAAACACACACAGATATAGGAATATTCAAATCATTTCAACTGTGTTTCTCAGAGTCCTATACCCCCTGGAATTTCAATCCATTCAAGCTGAATCTCGACTTCACCGCACTCGACATTCCTCAAAACAAGAATCATGTCCTGAACGATCTTGCCATTATGGTAGACGATTCTACTCTCTTCAGCCAAGCAGTTTTCTTTGGTTGGCAAAACCCTCTTGATCACTGTTCCATCTGGAAGTTCTTGCAAACCAAGTTTATGAACCTCTAGGAACGGCTTGATATCGATCTGCGCGTCTCCCATCTTGTCGTGCGATGTGAATGTATCTTTATCATACACAACCTGCACTCATAATCATTCAGAACCCACTGTCACAAGTGTCACACACTGAAACTATAGAGATGGATCTAAAGGACAAGGGATTATTAAATCTACTCACCAGAATCACAGGTTCATTGGGATGTTTGATGGCAAGTGTCAACTCCTCGTTCCACTCAGGGTTGCAGTTGTTCTCCACAGTACGACCCTTCAGTTTCTGGTGCATTAGAATGTTTTTATAACTTTGGTTAGAGTGCATGCAAGATAAAAAGTGCTAAGATCAAACCATTTGAATCTATCAAAAAATGAAATACTACATCTATCTATCTACTGTTTTTCTTCAAATTTAAATGTTTTAAAATGATTAGGGTTTGAAACTATTAGGTTTTCCTAAAGGTGGATTCTGAGATCTTTCCATCTAGGAAGAGAGTAAACATAGAAATATATCTCAAGAACCATAGAAAGACAGATGCATCAACATCAAGATCAAGAAACCAAGAAGACCAAATCTGATGAGAGACAAGGACCTGTGTTCCCATGGTTATGACGACAAAAGGGTCGCTGCTTAGAGAGTCACGTCTAGCGAGATTGATCCCTTTCTTCACTCGGATTCTCAGAAGCCCTGCAAGTGCCTCCATCTTCAACGCTCTTCCTCTGTTTTCTTCAAACAAAGTTTTTCTGTTTTTTTTTGTCTTGTTAAACAGATAACGATCGATGTCTCTAGGCTCTTGACTCTTCGTACGTTTCTTATATTCCTTAAAATATGAACGGCTCAAATTCAACGAGACCACTTTCTATTTGGCTCATCAACGGACGAAAGAGCGAGAAAATAACAAAAATAAATATTCTAGTAATTAAAAAGGTTTTTATTCTCATCAACGCGTTACTCTCACGAGCACCTTTGGTTACAAATATCGTTCTAGATTCTCTGACAGTGGAGGAGTTAACATCATTGACCTTTTTTGTGTGACGTGCAACAACATACATCTTCAAATTCAATAAAGTTCAAACAAACAAACAACAAAGAATCTAAGGGGTGGATTATCGGGAGATGAATTTACGTAGAGATTGTAGATTTTAAAAGTTGATAGATTTATAAAATTATGTAAATTATGAAAATGTATATATATATGTTGATTTGTAAAATTTAATCATATTTTTCTAGATTTCAAATTTTTTTCATAAATTTGTATTTCATTTTTCTATATTTCCTTTCATAAAATAAATATATAATTTAGCTTTGAGAAATTCTCTAATATAGTCATTTTAAAAGTTTTTATCACAAAAAATGTTGAAAGTAGAAAATGATCAAAATAGATTTTTTAGAAGGGTAAATATATATTTATACCCTTCTGTTAACTAACCATAAATTTTTTGTTTAGAATTAAGGGATATTGTTTGAGGGGTGGGTTTAAATTATTCAAAAATAGAAAATAAATATTAAAAATTATAAAAATAGTTTCAAGAAAATTTTCAAATTTTCAAAAAGAATATTAAAAAAAAAATTGAAAAAATTATAAAAAAGTTTGAGTCTGAAAAAATATAAAAACATAAAAATATTTATTTTTATCTTTTTATTTTTATAATTATATATTTTATTTATATTTATAAAACAAAGAGTAGAAAAATATTTTGATTTTTAACAAAACCTCTGGTCACTTTTATATATTATTTTAGTTTTTATTTTTAAACAAAATAAAAATATAATTATACATTAAAAGATAAGTAAATAAAAATGTAATGAATTATAATTTGAGACATATAATTTTGATTAAAGGTGAAATATATATTTGGTAGGAATAATTATTTTGTTTTCTAGATGTTTTAATCACATAGATTTTGAAAATCTCATGGATACATATGATATTTTGAAAGTTGTGTCTTATGTGTTAAAAGAGATAGTTACCATCTCCCAATAATACTAGATTTAATTAGAATTAAAAAATCAATAATGACTAGACTTTTTGAATAACAAGATAATTGAATAGATTTTGAAAATTCTTAAACCAATAATAATAGATTTACTAAGAGTTTTAAAATCTATGAACCAATAATAAAAAAAATTTCAAAATTTTCAAAGTTGACGAGAATTCATCTCCTAATAACCCCTCCTAATTCTCATGTTTAGCAGAGCCAAAGAATTTTTTTGAAGAGGTTCTAGAAATTAAGGGTTTGCTTTTATTTCTTCAATAGTAGAAACAGATATAAAATATATATATTAAGGTTTGGGTTGTATTCGACATCATGTACAACTAAATATATTTATATTTACAAACACACACACACATATAGGAATATTCAAATCATTTCAACACGTGGCTATACCACCTGGAACTTCAATCCATTCAAGCTGAATCTCGACTTCACCGCACTCGACATTCCTCAAAACAAGAATCATGTCCTGAACGATCTTGCCATTGTGGTAGACGATTCTACTCTCTTCAGCCAAGCAGTTTTCTTTGGTTGGCAAAACCCTTTTGATCACTGTTCCATCTGGAAGTTCTTGCAAACCAAGTTTATCAACCTCTTGGAACGGCTTGATATCGATCTGCGCATCTCCCATCTTGTCGTGCGATGTGAACGTATCTTTATCATACACAACCTGCACTCATAATCATTCAAAATCCATTGGAACTATAGAGATGGATCTAAAGGACAAGGGCCTAATAAATCTACTCACCAGAATTATAGGTTCATTGGGATGTAAGATGGCAAGTGTCAACTCCTCGTTCCACTCAGGGTTGCAGTTGTTTTCCACAGCACGAGTTTTCAGCTTCTGTTGCATTTCAACGTTTTACAAAATTTGGTTAGATTGCATGCAAGATAAATAGTCCTAAGATTTATTTCTCTTCCTCTATTGAAACCGTTTGAATATATCAAAAAGCAGATACTAATGCTATTTAGTTTTTTTTAGTTTTTAATAAATGATTAAAAATTGAAATCTATCATGTTTCTTATAGGTGGTGAATTCTTAAGAAAGTGAGAAGAACATCAAAACCGATCAAGATCAAGAAACCAAGAAGACCAAATCTGATGAGAGACAGCGACCTGTGTTCCCATGGTTATGATGACAAAAGGGTCGCTGCTTAGAGAATCACGTCTAGCGAGATTGATTCCTTTCTTCACTCGGATTCTCAGAAGCCCTGCAAGTCCATCCATCTTCAACCCTCTTCCTTTGTTTTCTTCAATCAAAGTTTTTCTGTTTTTTTTTTCCTTGTTAAACAAATACGATCGATGTCTCCAGGCTCTGACTTCCACGTTTCTTATTATATTCCTTAAAATATGACCGGCTCAAATTCAACGAGACCCCTTTATATTTGGCTTATCAACGGACGAAAGAGCGAGAAAATAACAAAAATAAATATTCTAGTAATTAAAAAGGTTTTTATTCTCATCAACGCGTTACTCTCACGAGCACCTTTGGTTATAAATATAGTTCTGGATTCTGTGACAGTGGAGGAGTTAACATCATTGACCTTTTTATGTGACGTGCAACAACATACATCTTCAAATTTAATAAAGTTCAAACAAACAACAAAGAATCTAAATCTAATTCTCATGTTTAGCAGAGCCAAAGAAATTTTTTGAAGAGTTCTAGAAATTAAGGGTTTGCTTTTATTTCTTCAAATAGTAGAAACAGATACAAAATATAATATTAAGGTTTGGGTTGTATTCGACATCATGTACAACTAAAGACACAGAGTAGATGGAGTCTTTCGTCATAATAGTTAAAAGAGACAAAAGACATAACTCGTCTTTCCATGAACAGAACATCTTCAACAGTTCTGTAACTTAGTCCAATAGTTTACTTGGCATCCACGGTGTCTTCTTGGATCCTAAACACAACAACAAATGCTCACATTTCAAAAAGAAAGAAACACCTAAGAAAAGAGATAATTGTTTGTTATTAACATTTTACCTTCACGGGCAAGACCCTTGCAGCCTGGACACTCAGTCCACTCAAGCATCATCTCGAGTTCCCCACACTCCACGTTTCTTAGTCTAAGAATCATGTCTTGTGTGATCTTCCCATTGCTCCAAGTGATGCTGCTCTCTTCAGCCAAACAGTTGGTCCTCCCTGGACGGATCCTCTTGATTGCACAACCATTAGGGAGCTTCTCAAAAACTAAGTCCATCTGATGCACTTCTACGAAAGGCCTCATGTCTATTTCCGCATCACCCATCTTGTCATCTCCCGTGAATCTGTCTTTATCGAACACCGTCTGCATAACACAAAAGCTTAATATAAGCCATCATATCAACGTGAAGCTAAATGAGCTTAGGCTTGGAGTGGAGTCTAACAAAAAGCTTACCAAACGGATAGGTTCATTCACATCTTTGATGGAAAGGGTCATCTGTTCGTTCCACACTGGATTACAGTTACTATTGATCACACGCGTCTTCATTTTCTGAAGGATCGACCAAGAAATTTCAGTTTCAAGACATTATATATGAACACAGAAAATTACATAGTACAATTGATGATAAAAGTCAGAGTTAAAAGCTCAATGAAATAATCATCTAGGACAACAAGTCAATCATGTCCCTTTTCTTTTCTCTTTAAAACTCAAATTACATTTTCCTATTTTGACCTCCACCAAGATTGTACTAATTAAAATGACATTTGTATCAATTAGCTGTGGGGGAGATGACATTTGAACAAGATTATGTATCGATTTCAAGAAAAAAAAACAAAAATGCTATTGACCCTTCAACCAGACTCTGTACTGCATGCAAAAGAAACCGTAGTTTTGTTGTTTAGCAAAAAAAAAAAAAAAAAAACTGAGATCTTCACATGGTGGCCACCAAAAACTGTTACATGTGGTGAATCTGGTAATCAGTCCATCATATTGTGACTCCTCCATGTGCCTCTATAACCCTACATTCGATTAAAACTCATACCCTCCAATACTCTAAAAAAGGCCAATCCTTTCTCAACAAAAAAATCAAATTTACTCTAAACTTTTATGTCACTAATATGTCTATACGATCTCTATACCCTAAATTTCGATTACAAAAAAAAAGCCCAATCTTTAATATAAAAAAACCAACTTTTTCTGTAAAGGAATAAGATTTTGATAAAAAGAAACAAACCTGATTACCCAACGTGACAACAACATAAGGATCACTGCTCGAGGAATCTCGAATCGCGAGATTAATCCCTCTTTTCACATGAACCCTCATAATCCCTAGCGATTTATCTTCCATCATTGCGAGAAAGGTTTAAACTTTATCCCAAGATTAAAGCCAAAACCCCTCTCTCAAACCCTGAATTGAAAAACCCAAATTCAGAATTTATAAAACTGGAAACTATATGGAATCTGCGAGAAAAGAGATATAATTTCGAACGAGAACAAAAAAAAAACCGACGCGGAGTTCCAAAAACAGTATCGACAGATCCCATTTCCGTAATTTTCGCGTAACCGATTTCATCGCTGCTTCTTTTACTTTCTTTAGGGTTTTTTCGTTCCTTCTCTCACACGTATGACATAACCTTCTCCACTTTTTCGAGTTTAGTCCCTGAGCTTTCCATAAGTTTACAGTCTTAACCAGCAACTATTACCATTAAACCCTTTGGCATTTTATCAGTCTTAAATTCTAATGCGCAAGTTTTTAAATTATGACATGGGTGGTTACATTAGGACACATTGATACTAGGTTATAAGTTATAACTTATGATTTTCAGATTCATGTTGTTTTGGTATTCTGTATAAAACAAATTTTATAGAAAAAAAATTAATGATTGAGAACGACTGAAAACCCAGGATTGTTTTTATTTATTGCTAAGAGCAACTACAGCAATGGATCATAGGAAAGTTCACACAATTCCCAAAAAAAAAAAATTATTATAATAATGAATAGGGATGAACCCCAGCTCGTGCAGGTTGTCTCTGCTGAACCGGTTCACTGCTATAGTTGAAAGTTGCTCTAACTAGTATATAACCCCACTATGGGTTTATTGCTGTAGTTGCTCTAACTAGTATATAATAGAGAACCTTGGATGCAATCATGCAACTAATAATATATTAGATGTAAGATATTGTATAATATGGAGGAATGGTACGATATATAGACTAAGTTGACAAAAAATAACGTGTGGCATGTTGAAATCAGTGGACCTACTATGTACCTTTGAATCTAGAAGAGTTTGTTAGTAGTGTATGATTGAAATCAATGGACATGAGGCAATTGGGGAATCTGGCTACTGGCTAATTGAACGGACAGAATGGCTGGACAAATAATTCAACAGAAGCCGTTTCCTATTTTTTATGTAAATTTGTTGTATTCTTCCTTATCGTACGTTTGGAATTGAATCATAAGCTGTCACATAATTTTATTTCTATGGATGATATTAATTTCGAATATGGTATTCAATTTGTAAATGACCTGTTGTTTAGTATAATATAAGGTATATACTATATGCCACCACTCATTGTCTTTGACTGAGGGAAAACTCGATTTTGGTTGTTTCTTCGACTGGTGCATGTTGTTTAAACATCTATTAACGTACAAATGCTTTTTAAACTTGCATTTAATCAAATGTAAATTCTTTTGTCATCTAGGTTAATGTAATGGGGTCACAACTTTCATAGAGGAAGTTGGAATTCAGGTAATTGTTTTAAAAATAACTACTGAAATAAAAAATGTTTATAGAAAAAAAAAAGAGCTATACTAACTTAGATGCATATATCAAAACCCACTTTTGTCACTTTCAAATTTTACGATAGGCAAACATATACAGATAAGCATGAGAAAGAAATACCTCAATTCAACAAACATCAGGTGTTCACATGCATAAACAATTAAGTTTGTTAAAAGACTTCTGAATTATACTGCTGATCAGCTTGCAAAGGCTGCTCTCTGTAATGCTACCCTTCCCTCTCCATCATAGTTCGATGGTGTGGGCTTTTTAATATAAGTTATGTTTGTGTTAAAAAAAAAAGTAACTAGGAAACCATGAGTTTGATGTGAAGATGGTATAGATCACTCGTTATATATGGAAAAACTTTTTAGATCCAATAGACTGCCAAAAAGATGAATATATAGTAAATCGGAATATGTTTGTGAACTTTTTTATTGGTTATGTTGTAACATGCACATCTGTGATATATATCAGTCATATGTTTATCGGGCTAGTAAAATTTTAGTTTCTTTTTGACGAAGGTATTCGAATTTAGGGTTGAATGATCAGGATATCTATATAATAAACTTTTAGGATGTTGACAAAAGTTGTTAAAAAAATATGTTGACAAAAAAAAATCTTTAGGATACTATATATATATATATGTGTGTGTGTCAAATAGTGATATAATAAATCATACATTATGTTTATCAACTGGGCAATTTCAGTTGGACGACAATGAGCGGCTCAGGATAAGACATGGGAAAGATGATGATAAGAAGAGGAAGTTGGGTGAAATACATATATCGATCATAATGCATGGAAATGAGACTGATAGCTGTCTGAAACTGTATGACATCGATCTCTATCTATGCTTCGTTGGTTTTGGTCCTATCCGTCAGTCATGTGCTCTCTCTATCTGACAATAGTCATAAACTTTTAGCTTGGCTTATTCGCTCCTCACCACTCAAAGATCATGGCCCATATAATGCTATCTGCACCTGATTCTGTTTCCATATTAATTCCATTTACCTACACATATAGTTTAACCAATAATCCCTTATATATTATTTGAGAAGCATTACAATATGTTTTGGTAGCCACGTGTCATCATGAGAATGCTTTTCAAATTTACTAGAGAAAAATGTTGGTCCATATAAACATATAATATACTTTTTATTAAACTAAACATAAACTATTATTATTGCTTTTCATTATTTCCTTAAATAAAATTTACGGAATTACCTAATATGGTTATAAGATATATATGACAATTAATGATTCGAATATGAAGATTTGATAAAAAAATTTATAGGCTCTACTA